TTTTAAACAAAAAATCAATTATTTCATTAACATTTATTATTTTTGCGATACAAATTTCTCAATGTAATTTTCATCATTTTATTAGGAAATTTTCAAAAAATTTCGAAATTTTACATCTGAAAAAGTCATATCCCATGTAAATTTTCGAATGTAAAATTACATGGGGTATGATTTTTTTGGACGTAAATTTTCGTTGTAAAATTCTCCCAATTTCTTTACAAATTCGATTGTGCCCCCCCAATGTAAAAGTTCTGCGTCCGCCCCTGGTCCTTCGTATTGAAGTATTTGGCTTTGGTATAAAGAAACGGGCAGTTCATGTTTAGTCTGTAATTTTGACCTTAAGTTACTTAGATAGACCTATGTTGGAGTACAAAAAAATTGTTTTCAAAGGTTTTAATGGAGATATATAGCCCCAATTTGAGCCCCAATTTTTTCGAAAACTTGCTTTGGATTTGTTTTGTTGTTTCAAACTGTTTTCAATTTTCAATTTTGCAAAACACTCAAAACTTGTTTGGTTTGATATACGTTTTCGAAAATAGGGTTACAACATAAAATTCAAAGCACAATGGACACATTTAATTTAATATTATAATTTAATTCTTAATTTTTAGATTTATTATTCTTAATATTTCATGTTTATTAAGAGTTCATTTTTATTAGGAGTTCTATTAAAAAAAGAGAGGTTTTTATTTTAAGAATTTGTTTTATTCTAAATGTTTACCAAAATAAAAGAAAAGCAATGGAAGAAGTAAAAAAACTAGATTCATGGCAGTACTCACATTTATTAGTGATACAAATGGCTGGTACATATCAAACTGAAAAAGTAAATTGTAGAAATGAAGATAAAAGAAATCCAAACATTTGAATAAAGCACACAACATATTAGAAACAGCCAACGTGAAAGAACACCAAAAGGTGTCACATAAGGAAGCAAGAAAGGAGAATAACGTTGTCTCAATGAAATGGATAGAATCTGCTGAAATCTTCCTTAATAGTATCTATGGGTATAATTTGATGTTCCAATTTGGCCCATGAAATTTATAGAATCTGACATACTGTTCAACTGTTGATTATACAGGTTTTGCCTTCTGCGCTGCAAATCCGATTCCATCTCCATCTGTCTTACGCGGGCTCGTTCTGCCTCATAGTGCTGATTTTTAGCTTTCATCGAGCCAAGTTCAGCTTTCGACCTTTTCTGTTCCAATAACTTGTGCCTCAAGAACAATGCAGTATATCTCTCAAGATCATTTTTGGGCTCAGTTTCAAGCAAACTAGCACAATTGGCATGAAGGTTGAATTTGCACTTTGAGCAATTGTAGGTGAATCCATTGCAGGATTCACCACAGGCTTCACAACCCCCCTGGATATATGGCGGGTAGAGGAGGCCAAGATTGTGTTTGTGTTGGGATTTGAATTGAGCAGATTGTGGCAAGTCAAAACAGAATTCATGAAGGTAAAATCTGCAAGGTGAACAAGTGTAACAAGAACCAAATAAGGGAAGGTTACAACCAAAACACGTCTGCTGCTTATTTTCGCTCGGTACTTCGATAGCATGCATATCGTGAGGATGGCTAAAATGCTTCATATCTCTTAATTTTTCTCCCTCTTAAGTGATATATACACGAGTACGTACGTATATCTCTCTTTTTCTCTGCGTTTTAGTTTTCGGCAGTGACTAAAAGGGTTTCTATAAATAGAAGTTTGAGGAAATGTGAAATGTTATTTATTTCCTCAAAATTCTTTGACATTGTCAGCAAACCGAGTACAGCACTACAGCTTGTACCTGAGTGGACAAGCCGTAGTCTTAGCCAATGATAATATTGTCGCAAATTATTGTCTAGTTTTCTGTTTATTTTTTCTTTAATTAATTTCTAGAATTATGCCGAAGCTTGTTCTCTTTAAAAATGTAAATTAATAACAATTAGTAACTCATAAGCCAATTTCTTTCAATTTTATAATGAGATTAAGGGAGACAAGTAACTACTAATGAACATGGAAGGAAATAAACCAATACTAATATATGAGATATCTTATTACGTATGAAATATGATAAGTGCATATTTGGACTTCTTTACTTGATTATTTATGTAATATTGCGAAGAGATCTACCTAATTTAGGTGAAAATATGCTAGTTGTAGATAAAACCTTGATTTGAAGGCACTTGGATGCAATGGCATGAAAAGACATTTTTGGAGTTAAATTGGAGTTGACTAGGAGCAAATGATGATCAATCAAATTGTAATTGATAAATTAGAAAAATTATGGAACAATCAGACTTCGAAGCTTAATTCAATTTTGGAAGTTTGGAGACTAAAGTGT